AAGAGAAAGGAAGACAATAAAACTATATAGGAAGACAGGAATTCAAACTATCTTTTTTTTGTGAACAATATAATTTAATACCTAGAAAGCCCCATAGTCTCTGACTAAAATCTCCTAGATATGATATTTTAAAACTTGAGCAACGTTTCAGGATGTAAAATCAATGTACAAAAGTCAGTAGTATTTCTACATACCAACAATGCCCAAGCTGAGAGCCAAGTCAAGAATGCAATCCTATTCACAATAGCCACAAAAAGTAATAAAAAACTTATAAAAGAATACCTAGGAATAGAGCTAACCAGAGAGGAGAAAAATCTCTACAATGAGAATTACAAAACATTGCTGAAAGAAATCAGAGACAATAAAAACAAATGAAAAAACATTCCAAGCTGATGGATAGGAAGATTCAATATTGTTAAAATCACCATACTGCCAAAAGCAATTTACAGATTCAATGCTATTCCTATCAAACTACCAATGCCATTTTTCACATAATTAGGAAAACTATTCTAAAACTTATATGGATACTCCTTCACCATAAATAAGGTTTGAAATAAATAAAATAAAACAAAACACATACAAAACCAAAAAAGAGTTCAAATCACCAAAGCAATCCTAAGCAGAAAGGACAAAGCCAGAGGCATCATACTACCCAACATCAAACTATACTGTAAGGCTACGGTAACAAAAACAGCATGGTACTAGCACAAAAACAGACACATAGATCAATGAAACAGAATAGAGAGCCCAGAAATAAGTGCACACACCTAGAATCATCTGATTTTCACCAAACTTGACAAAAACAAGTCAACAGGAAAAAGGATGTCTTATTAAATAAATGATGCTTGGATAACTGGCTAGCCATATGCAGAAGACTGAAACTTCACCCCTTCCTTTCTGCATACATAAAAATCAACACGAGATGAATTAAAGACTTAAATGTAAAACCTAAAGCAATGAAAACCCTAGAAGAAAACATACAAAATACACTTTATACAAAAATTAACTCCAGATGGATAAAAGATTTAAACAAGACTTAACATCATAAAAACCCTAAAAGAAAACCTAGGCAATACCATTCAGGTCATTGGCATAGGCAAGGACTTCATGACTAAATCACCAAAAGCAATGGCAACAAAAGCCAAAATAGACAAATGGGATCTAATTAAGCATAATATCTTCTACACAGCAAACAAAACTATCATTAGAGTGAACAAGCAACCAACAGAATGGGAAAAAATTTTTGCAATCTACCCATCTGACAAAGGGCTAACATCCAGAATCTACAAAGAACTTAAACGAACTTACAGGAAAAAAACAAACAACCCCATCAAAAATTGGGCAAAGGATATGAACAGACATTTTTCAAAAGAAGACATTTATGCAGCCAACAAACATGTGAAAAAATGTTCATCATCATTGGTCATTAGAGAAATGCAAATCAAAACCACATTGAGATACCATCTCACTCCAGTTAGAATGGCAATCATTAAAAAATCTGGAGACAAAAGATGCTGGAGAGGATGTGGAGAAACAGGAATGCTTTTACACTGTCAATGGAAGTGTAAATTAGTTCAACCATTGTGGAAGACAGTGTGGCTATTCCTCAAGGATCTAGAAATAGAAATTCCATTTGACCCAGTAATCTCATTACTGGGTATATACCCAAAGGATTATAAATTGTTCTATTATAAAGATACATGCACACATGTGTTTGCTGTGGCAGTGTTTACAATAGCAAAGACTTAGAACCAACCCAAATGCCCGTCAATGATAGACTGGACAAAGAAAATGTGGCACGTATACACCATAGAATACTACGCAGCCATAAAAAAGGATGAGTTTACGTCATTTGCAGGGGCATGGATAAAGCTGGAAACCATGTGCCAATCTGCGCATGTGCCCCAGAACTTAAAGTGTAATAAAAAAAAGAAAGAAAGAAAATACCATTCTGGACATAGACCCTGGAAAAAATTTCATGATGAAGAGGCCAAAAGCAATTGCAACAAAAACAAAGATTGACAAATGCAACCTAATTAAATTAAAGAGCTTCTGCATAGCAAAACAAACTACCAAGGGAGTAAACAGAAAGGGAGAAAATATTTGCAAACTATGTGTCTGATGAAGGTCTAATATCTAGAATCTATAAGAAACAAATTGAAAGTAAAAACCCCATCAAAAAATGGGTACTCCGCACCACTCCCAGTCACAGCCTTCCGTGACTTCCTCATCTCCAACATGGCAAAAATCTCCAGCCCTACAGAGACTGAGTGGTGCATTGAATCCCTGATTGGTGTTTTCCAGAAGTTTGTTGGAAAGGGTGGTTACAACTGCACTGTCTCTAAGATGGAGGTCCTAAGGTTCATGAATACAGAGCTGGCTGCCTTCACAAAGAACCAGAAGGACCCTAGTATCCTTGGCCACATAATGAAAAAACTGGATGTCAACAGTGATGGGCAGCTGGATTTCCCAGAATTTCTTTATCTGATTGGTGGCCTAACTGTGGCTTGCCATGACTCCTTCCTCAAGGACCCCTTGGGCCTGGACTTCAAACCCACCCCCTTTCCTTCCAGCCTTTCTGTCATGATCTCTTCCTCACAGCCCACATGTCTCCTGAACCTAGCACTCCCACCACATCATGCAGGCCTCACCTGCAGATAGTAATAAAACAATGCCACTTTTTTAAAACAGGGAAAAAAACAGGCAAAGGATGTGAGCACGAACTTCTCAAAATTAGATATGCATGTGGCCAATAATCATATGAAAAAATGTTCAACATCATTAATAATTAAAGAAATGCAAATCAAAACCACACTAAGCCAATCAGCATGGCTATTACTAAAAAGTCAAAAAATAACAGATGCTGGTGAGGTTATGGAGAAAAGGGGATGCTTATACACTGCTGGTGGTAAAGTAAGCTAGTTCAAACACTGTGGAAAGCAGTTTGGAAATTTCTCAAAGAACTTAAAACTGAACTACCATTCTACCCAGCAATCCCATTACTGGGTATATACCCAAAGGAATATAAATCAGTCTACCATAAAGACACATGCACATGTATGTTCACTGTAGCACTATTCACAATGGCAAAGGCATGTAATCAACCTAAATGCCCATCAATGGTGGAATGGATAAAGAAAATGTGGTACATATACACCATGAATATTACACAGCCATTATAAAGAACGAGATAATGTCCTTTACAGCAACATGGATGGAGCTAGCGGACAGTACACTAAGTGAATTAATGTAGAAACAGAAAACCAAGTACTGCGTATTCTCACTTATAAGTGGAGCTAAATACTGAGAGTACACATGGACACAAAGGAGGGAACAACAGACACTAGGGCCTACTTGAGGGTGGAGGGTGGGAGGAGGGTGAGGATTGAAAAACTACCTATTGAGTACTATGCTTATTACCTGGGTGACAAAATAATTCATACACCAAACCCCCACTGCATGCAATTTACCCATATAGCAAACCCACACATGTATCCCATGAACCTAAAATAGAAATTGGAAGAAAAAAAGTGTCCACAGAAAAATAGAAGACATAAAGAAAAGTCAAAATTTTCAGAACTCAAAAATACAATGATCAAAACAAAAAATCTTAATGGGAAGTACAAATTAAAACAAAAAGCATATCACAGCCATCATAAGAGTAAAAATCACAAGGTCTGACAATTCAAAATTTAATAAGGATATGAGAAAATTCTAGACATAGTGTGAACTGCTACATTTGCTTCAGACAGCAGTTTAGCAATATCTGGTAAAGCTGAAAAAGCACACACTCTATAACAGCAATTCCATTTCTAGGTGTATATCCTAGACAAAATATTTCACATATACAGAAGAAAACCATACAAAAATGTACATTTTCTAATTGCTTGCAATCGAAAAACTGGAAATAATAGATTAAGTTGGAGAAATACATAAACTTTAGAATTCATAAAATGGTTAAAATTAAATATATATATATATATATATACACATATATATACACAGAGAGTTCAAAAATACAACTTTGAAGTAAAAATCATACAGTGACACATTCAGTATGAGATAATTTATGGGACTTAAAGCACACAATAAAACAATCCCTGAAAACAAAGATTGGATGGACATACACTTCAAATTTTAATAAAGGTATAAGTTGGATTAGAAGCAGAATAAAGGTGATTTAACTGTTTTTATATTGTATTCTAATTATTTTAAAATAGCTGATGCAAAAATGACAAAGATTAGCATTGATTCTAGATGGTTGATCACACATATTTGAATATTATTTTTAAGTCTCTGCAGTTTTAAGCATTTTAAAATTAAGGGAATGAATTTTTAAAACTACAAAAATATGAATAAAGGGATAAAAAGCAGTAACTTTTAATTAATATGCTGGATTCTGAGACAACTTTAAACTCAATAGTATTTACCATGGTGTCAAATTTAGCATTTATCTTGAGTTCACAAACTGAGTTTGCTAATTTTGTCTCTGTTTTTCAAATTTCTAGAATTTACAGACTACTATAAAAACCATACACTCTTTTAGGCTAAGTGTTAGAAGACAGTCATAAATTTCTGGCTGTGTGACTAAATAAATTTAACTTTACTAACATAACCCCAGGATCACTATTCAAGCTCATCACTCTCACTATCCCTTCACGTGGTCATCATGCCCACCTACGAGGTCTCCAAAGCTAAAAGCCCATCCTCATTTAGAACCTTTTTGCCTCCCATGACTCTCTTTCTCATCTGGCTTGTCTATTACCCTGGCCATTATTTACACACTAAGGTTCATTCTTTGAGTGCATACAAGAACAGTTTCTGGAATCTTTAAATTTTAAAAGAGGAACTTATGATATTCTGCTCAACCACAAAGGTACACACAATTTAAAAACCTGAAAGGTCTCCTCCCTTTCTTTTTTAACAACATTGTGCTTACTATTTTTATCTGATAAAAAGGATCACTCTACAAATATTATTTGTCTCAAATTATGACTCACCTCTGGATAAAGATGGAAGCGTTTCACTGTATTAATTACAAGAGGATATTCAGTAAGCCTGTCATTCATAATCATCCACAGTCCTTCCAAAAACGAAGGTGCTTCAATAATGGTCTTGAAGTAGGAATAATAAAGCCCCTTTTCAAAAAAAGGCACATATTGTCAATGTAATTAAAACTTTAAAATATTTATTTTTATCATTTCTTTAGAACTTTTTTTTCTAGGAAAAAAAAAAAAAAAAACCCGAAAAGGTCAATAGTAAGACTTCCTAATTACTCCTTTCTAGTTTGCATTCATGGACTTCAAGAAGCATGTATTTTCAGGTGATCACTGTACTATTCTTTCACTTTTTCTATAGGCTTTCAAACAAAAGAGTTGGAGGGATAGTCAAATGATTTAAAGAGTTTTTCTAAAAATGTCTTAAAATATTTAGGCAGTATACATTTAATTTTACCAAATCTGGTTTTATCCCCCACATTTGAGATGCTTGAAGGTTGACATATGATTAATTCTATCATAAACAGGGATGACTTCATGCCTCTGTACAAATTTGCATATAGAAAATTAGTTTTTTTCCTATCCTCTTAAGAAATAAAATATAATGACCATAAGCATCACAATCAAGGAATCCAGTGCTTCTAGCTTACTTCATAGCTTTATCTAATGGCTCTGTGCAAAGTGAAAGCTAAATGTCCATTGACTATTGTTGCTCACAAATGCTATGTACTAAAAAGCAGGTTCTTTTACTGTCTTACACATCAGGATATAAAATAAATGTTTCATTAGGATAGCAAAAGTGCTGTTGAGTTAAAATTTGTGGATTAACAACAGCACGTTGTGTCTTATTTCCCCATCTATTTCTTGCCTTCGTTCCTAAAATCTAAAAGCAAATAAAGGGCCATGTTGATAAAATGCACTCCTACTAAAAAATGCTATATGCTATAATCATACCTGCCTCACCCAACTCCTTAACTTTTAATAGATTAAGCAACATGAGTAACTACTATATTAAAGGTCTGTTTCAGCTGATGTCTGAAAGGCCATTACCTAATAGTTGATTGGCAAAATATGAGTTAATAAAGAATTTTCCTTTCTGCTTAGGAGGATAGCAAGGCAATACAATAATTAAAGGATATCTAATATGTAAAAGTCTATATTTAGGGAAATATTAAATATATAAATAAGTTATTAATAACAGCTATTGTTTTGTGCCAAGTATTCCGCCATGTGTTGTCACCCATTATCTCTCTGCATTTTTCCTAAACCCCTCTAAGGTTGGCATTATCTCTATTGAGCAGCTGAGATTACTGAGAATCTGAGAGGTTACCTGACTAGCCATTGTACAATTATTGTACAAGAAAGCACAGAACTGTTATCAGAATCCAGTGATCTGTCAACCAAAGTCCAGACTCTGCCAGTTACACCCTTTATTTAATGATAATTTATATTCTGTCTTTGGAAATATCTTTAAAATATTCAAATGTCACACATATGTTAATGTAACCAATGCTTTGAAACATTAAAGGGGCAATATAGGGATGAAAATAAAAAGTAGTGGCTGAGGGGCCTAGAATAAGCAAATTCATAGGACAGAAAATACAGTTGGGTGTGATTAGTGGGTACAAGAGTTTCTGTTTAGGATAGCAAAAGTTCTGAAGGTGGACAGTGGTGACAGTTGCAAGAAAATACCAATGTACTTAATGTCACTGAGTTGTACACTTAAATGATAAACATGTTTAAATTTTTTATTACAATTTTAAATTTAAATTTTATCACAATTTAAACAAAAAGCAGTGGCTAGAGTGAGGAGAGCCAGTTACAATGCTTCACTAGGCCCTCGACCAGCTACAAGCAGATTTGGAAGATGGGCGGTTGTGGTCTCTTATAAATGTAAAATTCTGCAGTTTTGGCATTCAATATCCCACTTACTCTTCACAATAATTATGTGAGATGCATATGGCAGAAAACTCCATTTTAAAGACTAAAACTAAAAAAAAAAAAAAAAACCCCAGAAAATTATTTAAAAATTATATCAAAAGTTATTTCTCAAAAGATATTATCTTGAAATCAAAAGAGATCTGAATTAACAATAATAATCATTAAAAGACCCAGGTAAAACATGGGATCTCCCAACTGTAGCAAAAGAGAAAGCAATTTCTGATAACATCTCATTTGATAGCCCTTTATCACTTCTTCAGTGCCTTCTTTTTTCTCCTTCCACAGATACTATAATTCATCTTTATTATCTTAAAAAGAAGTCTGCATTAGGAAAGGGTGAGAGATAATGAAATAAGTAACAGAAAAATAATCTCCAACTCTTTACTATTTAAATAATAAATCTGGGTTATAGTTAAGAAACAGCACAGTTCACCAAAAGTTCGTTTCAATTCCTCATACATTTCTACCTCATCGTCTCACTATTCTTAAACCACAAATTAATTCATTAGAAGAAGAAACCTAACCATTTCAGTGCGAAAAGTCATCTCCCGTTCCAAAGATGAGAGGTGAGAGAAATGACGATCATTTTCAAAAAGTGTTACTAAATGTATCCTAGAAAAAAATGAAGTATCATATTACAATCAGGACAAGTTTCAAAAGCAACACTAAAATCACTAAGCGATAACCAAAGTAAGAAAGCCACAAAAAGGAAAACAATAATTTGTTATAATATTGATTTTATAATTTGCTTACTAACTTGTATGTTTTTAGGCATTTATAATCCAGTATGTTTTTAGGCATTTATAAACCTGAAATTCCTTAACTCAGTGGTTTTTAAACTTAATTGTGGCCAGGCATGGTGGCTCACACCTGTCATCCCAACACTTTGGGAGGACGAGGTAGGAGGATTACTTGAGGTTAGGAGTTCGAGACCAGCCTGGCCAACATGGTGAAACCACGTCTTTACTAAAAATACAAAAATCACACAGGCATGGTAGCACATGCCTGTGATTCTGGCTGCTAGGGAGGCTGAGGCAGAAGAATTGCTTGAACCCAGTGGGCAGAAGTTGCAGTGAGTGGAGATCATGCCCCTGCACTGCACTCCAGACTGGGCGACAGTAAGACTCTGTCTCAAAAAAACAAAAAACAAAAAAACACCTTAATTGTATATCTAAAATTCTTGTGGCCTTTGTCACCTTTCCTTCCATCCCTGGCCTCTAAATCAGAACAGAGGCACGTTAGTGTTTGCTTTGTAAGTTTCAAGGGATTCTAATGTACCAGCCTTGGGAAATACCTCCATAGCTGTTGAAAAAGAATTCAGAATATGATTTTAAATAAAATTACTTTAGATCAAAGCAGACTTATAATAAGTATAATATCACATAAGGGATCGACTTTCAAGTGGCAAAGAATACAGGTCTGTACTTGAAGATATTTTAGTAGTGAAACTCAACAGCTGTAGGCAGTGAAGAAAGGAGCATATGTGATAAAATTAGCTAACTTACCTAGTCAGTACTTTCCAGCGAGGTTGAAAATAAAACAAAGTTCCATATATTAACCCTGTTTTCCACTAGCCCTTCTTTACATGTGGGACAGATGCCAGGGTACCAAAAACTGCAGGAATATTCCCTACCATTGCAGCCTCAGTTCTAACATCAAAATCTCCCTGCAGACTAAATGGCTAGAGCAGCACTGTCCCAGCAGAACACAGGGGCAGGTTGCATACCTCCCAAGGTATGAGCACAGGTATTTTTACCTGAGCACAGGTAAAAATAAAATATTCCAGAGGGAATATTATTTTACAAATTTTATAACACTTTTGTAAAATAATGTACGCAGGCTTGCACACTGAAAGACTCAAAGCCATTTAACTCTGTATAACCACTGTAGAATCTTTATCTTCTTTTTTACCTGATTTCCAATTGGCAGGTGTTACTAAAACTTTATCACCTAAGTTATTTTACTGGCTGAGCATGGTGGCTCACACCTGTAAACCCAACACTTTGGGAGGCTGAGGTGTGTGAATCATTTGAGGCCAGGAGTTTGACACCAGCCTGGCCAACATGGTGAAACCTCATCTCTACTAAAAATACAAAAAAAATGGCCAGGTGTGGTGGCACACACCTGCAATCCTAGCTATTTGGAAGGCTAAGGGATGAGAATCACTTGAGCCTGGGAGGCAGAGGCTGCAGTGAGTCAAGATCGTGCCACTGCACTCCAGCCTGGGAGACAAATCAAGATTCTGTCTAAAAAAAAAAAAAAAGTTATTTAACTAACAACATACAATTACCATAAAATAAAGGAATGTTTTAAATGAACTATACATGCAAAATATGCTTAAAAAGCTAGACATTTAAAGTAATGTGTGGTGAATTCTTTGGCAAGGCATATTTTAATTCATAAGTTACTATTCCCGTAATGCATCTATTTTGTAAATGCTCCTTAATATATGAGGTTTGTAAAAAAGCAAAATATATGTATACATTGGTGCACATAAAGATGTTCAACAAATCTAGCCAGAAGTTGTTTTATTTTATGCAAAAATTGATGGCAATTTTTAATTAAAATGTTTTTAAATATTTCAAACTGAAACTAAATCTTACCAGTGCAAAATTCCTACACAGGCAGCTGGAAAAAGAAAAAAAAAAAAAGGAAAGTTATTAAAAGCTGCTTTGTTATAACTTACCCTTAGAGTAAGTATTTCAAATGTATTCTTTTATATGTCTAGAAAGATAGCACACAAAGCAAGATGGCCAGCTATTCCTGTTGCTATGAGTATAGGAAAAAATCCAGGACACAAAACAAATTCTGAACAGAGCTTACCTTTCAGCAGCAGCACCTGACAAGCAAAAGGAGAAACTTTAGAGGGTTTTTTTTAACTTCAGGTAATTTGTAAGAGTGATGGCTTCATGGATGATTGTGACCTTTTTTGTTTTTTTTAGTATCATTTTCTATTCCTTTACATAAAATTTTTACAAAAATTATAAAAGAAGTAAATATATACAGTATGCTTCAGCTAGTTCTAACCAAGAGGAGCCACTCTACGTCAGTTTCCCTGGCGTTCATCGGAAGACAGTTAAATGCAGGCAATCACTTCCTCAGGAGCACATCTAAAAGCCCCATTGTGCAACTCAACCCTTGATGAATTGCAAGCTCTTTGCATGCTCCCAGAACTAGGAGGTACAAGATGGCCTAGGAGACTAATCTGGAGTCACCTGAGCCAATGCCCCATGCATACATAAGACCTCACCAGGGATCTGGGAGACACTGCTCTGGGTACGAAGATTTTACAGGAACTGCAAACGCAGTCTGTGCCCTTGGTTGGCTGGGGAATTCCTTGTTTTCAAGGGTACCATAGAGCTGGGAAGAGGGGAGGAGAAAATAGAACAAGTTAAAACACCACAAACTTTGCTGTTCTTTTAGAGGTTCAGCAGCTTTTCTTGAATTAATGCCAGATTGTTGTAAACCTTTGGTTAATTTCCAAAGTTTTGAAAAAAATGATTTTGATAATTTTCCAAGTATTTTCATTGTTGTCATGGAGGAGTGCATTTACTTGGCTATTCCAGAAGTCCTACCTCCTTCCGAGATTTTATAATGGTATTTCTTGTGGTCGTCCCAAATATACTTGGCAAGTCATCTTATAAACCACCAATAATAGGCATTTAAAAATTGAAAAATTATTCCACTTGGCTAACAAAATAAATGAAAATTAATTCAATAATTATTGAAGAAATTAAATGTAAAAAAATTTAAAATTGCAATGTTGAAATTCTCAACCATGCCTCTCCAGATCTTTTCCCATATTACTAACTGTCCTGGGCTTATCTTAAATATTTCTCAGAATATTAATTTGTTTTATACCAGGATGGGCAAAGTATAGCCCATGGTCTGTTTTTGGACTGCCTGCAAGCACGGTTGCTGTGATTTTTAAAAGGTTGGTAAAAATGAAGCAGAAGCAGCTGGTGCTGCTGCTTCAACTGTATGTGGCCTGCAAAGCTTAAAATATTTACTCTTTGGCTCTTTATTGAAAATATATACATATTTGCTACATATATTAACTCTTTCTATCTATACTTGGAACCATCCTGAAACTAAACCTCATGCCTTCTCTCTCAGCTTGAAACAGGTGCTCATTAACTGTTTATTAGGCTTCATTAACTTTAAGTCATACAGAGACTATCCTATTCAACTACATTTGTATCCTATTTCTAATTCTCCTAACAATTATATACACTGGCAAACAATCTTAATATGTAAGGAAAAAGTCAAATATACCACCAAATTCATCCAGCTTTCCAAAGATGCTCAAAACCTTTCTGTGTCTCTCACTCCCTCCCTTCACCCCATATACAACATCTGGAAAAAAAAAGATGATACGGTGTAATGATGTCAGTATTCTAAATGCATGAAGGGCTTATCACATGCCCTTTCCAAGCTCCAAGCTGTGACAGAAGCACATCCCCTGGACCCTGGCATCCTATCTATCCATCTCACCTCTGAAGGTGACCCAGCCTCATATTTCACTGAAACAAAGACCATTAGAAGCCAGCACTTCCAACTTCTTTTATCTCCACTTTAACATTTCTCCATATAGTAATCCTCACTTTTCTGCTCCCTTCCAGCTCAGAAGAGGAATTCTCTCTCCTTTTTTCCACAGTTAGCTTCTCAAATTTGTGCCTTTAATTCTACCCCTCCCAAATATTCCAAGACTTGCTCCACTAATTATTTCCTTTCTTGGATTCTCTCATCCTCTTCCCTTCAGCGTTTAAAAATCCCAGACCTTAAAACACTCTCTGAGATCCGTCGGCCCTTCAAACCAATATACTCCCCATCTCTCTCTCCCCACTGGTTCAATGACAAGACCTTTGGCCAATTTCCTTCTTTTAAGTTCCCACAAGTTATTTTAAAACGACCAACGGCCTTTTAGTTATCACAATTCTTGTGCATCTTTCTGTAGCATTTGGTAAGATTTCTGGATCTCTTCCTCTCTCATCTTTCATCACACCAACTTTCCCAGTTCTTCTATTTCTTTGACCACTCTGATTTTATCTGGTTTTTCCTTTTCCTCTCATCTCTTAAAACCAAGTTTTACCCCAAGTATCTGTCCTTTGCCCAATTTTCTCTATTGGCAATTTCATTCAGTCTTAAAATTTCAGTGCTCACGTCTACATAGATAACTCCCAGTCCATAACCTTCATTCCTGAACTTTCTCCCTTCCCAGCCTCCTCTTCTAAGACGCCACCCATTCAGTCCTGTCTGACTCCATCAGCTCTCACCTGTCCTCTCCTCTCCACACTTGCTGTGGTTACCCTCGTGAAGACTATTATTGCCTGGATTCTACTGCTAGTTTTCCAGTTATTCTTTCTGCTCCCTTTCTCAATCTCTCTTGCACACTGCTGCCGAGTTAATCTCTGAAGCACACTTCTGATCATGCCACTGTATTTAAAAATCAGTTGATGTCAACACTGGAAATGTACTATAGGCCACTAAACTGTTCACTTTAAAACAATTAATTTTGGCCGGGCATGGTGGCTCACTCCTGTAATCCCAGCACTTTGGTGCTTAGGGAGGCCAAGGTGGGTGAATCATTTGAGATCAGGGGTTGAAGACCAGCCTGGCCAACATGGTGAAACCCCATCTCTACTAAAACTTAAAAAAAAGCCAGGCATGGTGGCAGGTGTCTGTAATCCTAGTTACTGGGAGGCTGAGTTGGGAGAATCACTTGAACCCAGGAAACCGAGGTTGCAGTGAGCTGAGATGGTGCCACTGCACTCCAGCCTGGGCGACTGAGTGAGACTCCATCTCAAAAACAAACAAACAAAAACAGTTAATTTTATGTGATTTCAACTCATAAAAAAAATTTTTTTAAGAAAAGAATCCATCAACACCTTCCTACAGGATGAAGTTCAAATGCCTTACACCTGACTTTGAATTAGACCCTCCAAGGCTGGTTCCAATCAACCTTCTCAACTTACTTCCTACTACTTCATGTCCTTCATTTCAGCCCACTTGGCTTTCATGTTTTCTGCCTCCCATGACTTTGATCATGCTGTTCTCTCAGCCTCTGACACTTGTTGATCTCAGCTCGACATACCCAATTATTAGCCTTTTTGTCACAATTCGAATCTCACCTTTTTCTAAAAGTCTCTCGATCTCATTTCCCACTTCCCACCCTAGAGCATTTGCTCGCACTTCTGAACTCCCGTAACACTCATGACAATCACTCATTGTTTCACCCACCCCTAGGGTTCCTTTAATGCACCAGACCTCGGCGCACCGGAGCTTGTGCTGGGGATGGCAGTACCGCTTGGTGTCCAAGACCATGTTGATTTTAGACTTGGGATGTGTTCACTGGCATAATTAGACATCTGATAAAATCCAAGTCTGAACCTCCATCATTCCTCAAGTATCATTAACACTTCCAGTGTGGAGACACATTCTACTTTGACATCAAGAGTCAACGTGCAGTGAGAAAATTACAATAATTGACATTAAGAGACATTCATCTATGACAGTTTGTATCAGTAGCCAGTCTGACTTAGGGCTAGGCTCAAAACTGATTCCATACCAATAGCAACAACATTTAAGTTCCCTCTTATGCTACAGAAAATGAAGGATGTAAGTGGGGGAAGAAAACCCCTTCAGACGCATAACGAAATCTTCCAACTGTGGACACTGAAGCTCCATGGCAAGATGGATCAATAGGGCAATATAAACCTACTTTGACCCTATTTCCATTATAAATGTTCTCAACTAATTTTTTTTTTAACTCCATGTGTTCTGCTTTCGGGTGCTGAGAAACGTTAAGGTCTGTTCCCCAAGAGCCAGCCAATCATTTTTTACCAAGCCTGATAATTGGCTGCCCTGATTCAGATAACATTTCATTAGGGTGACTACTGTCAGAAAACTCTGAAAATGTTTTTGAAACAAGAACTAATTGGGCTTGGCGATACTCGCCACGTTTTTCCGGAGCTAGGACCTTGCAATTATTTGCTACTAGGCACCCACAAACCCTTGCTTGTTAAACTGATCTCTTTAGCGACTTAAGCGCCCTGCGGCTCCCTCTTAGGGCTCTCCTGCCCTCTCCTCACCGATGCAGAGAGTGGTCTTGCTGGAGCATCTACGCGCCTGCAGTTCCTGCGCCTTTTCCCGGAGCTGCGCCAGGAAACCGTGGAGGAACTGGAAGCGGCCGAGAAGGAGGGTCTTAGCGATCGCGTCCAGCTGCAAGCAATTTCGCGCTTTCTGATTTCGGTTCCTCCGCGGCGAGTATCCTCGGGCGCCCCGTGGCAGGTTCCCGCCACCTAGGGTCGAAGACTGAAGAGACAGCCCCGATTTTTCCACCTCCTCCTCCACCTCCGGTTCCCGGGCTCCGGAGGCTCCGCGCCGCCGTTTCGACTGGCAGGGGCGGGAAGACTGAAACCGTTCTGGAGCCGTCGCTCTGAGCTTACTCCTCGTTTGCCCGACCATTTTCTCATAGTCCTTGTTCCGATGGAGCTGGGTCAATTTCCGGCGCAGCCCAGCCGAGTCCGGCGAGGTCCGAAAAGGCCTGACTCGCCTCGCAGCCTCAACGACTTGTCCCTGCCGCCGTTGCGGGACTCCTGGTCGTCATGGCGACTGTGAAATGTGGGGTGGGGGGGCGTGCAGTCGAAGCCAGTCGCGCGGGCAGGCCCTGCCCACCCCCACGTGCTTTCCAGCGCGCGCAGCACCCCCGCCTCCGCGCTTCCCCGCGCGTGCAGCCTGCCCCGAGCGCAGCCCCACGCATAACCCCCCACACCCTCCCCAGCGCCTGCAGTCGCCGGTGCGTGAAGTCCCCAGGCCTGTATAAGTGCAGCCCCCTCCTTGCGAGCAGCTCCACGCACAACACCCTACACGCTCCCAAGCGTCGCTCGCGCAGAACACATCACCTCTCGCGCAGCCCCCTTCACGCGCTTCCTTGCGCATGCAGCCCCCCGAGCGCGCAGCTCCAAGCAGTCTCTCCACATGCTCCCCGGCGCCCACAGCCTCCTATACACGCAGCCTCCACCCACACTCGCGCAGTCCCCACCTCTCGCGCAGCCTCTCCGCACGCTCTCCAGCGCCTGCAACACCCCCAGTGGGCGCAGCTCCACCAATCGCTTTTCCGCGCTCCGCCCCCCGCACCGCTCGGGAACCTAAGCTTGCTGGCGACTAAGTCTGAAGAACTTCCCGTAGTTTAATTCTTTTCTTTGGGTTTAGGCTTAGCTTTGACCTTTTAACCAAAAGCTTACGCGTTAATTAACAAGGTATTAAAGGGGAAGATCTCAGCTAAAAGAAATGACAGTAGGAAGTGAGCCAGGGAAGCCAAAGGACTCTCCGACCCGCCTGTGGTGCGCTGGGCACTAGGAAAGTCTCTGTTCTCCTACGATCGCGGGAGTATCGTACAGTCAGTGCCCTTTGCCAGTGCGGAGGGATCAGGCCGAGGCTGCGGGAAACACGTGACAAAGCCGGCGTGAGTCCGGTGGGTCTGACCCCAGAGCCTCAGGTTGATGCCAATTCTTTGGCACAGGACAGCATTTACCGAATCTTAACGCAAAATTATTTTCCAATAAGGTTCCTCAGAAGTCATCAGCCCTAGAAGCGGTGTGCTCAAGCGCTTTCAGCAGTTTCCTACAATGGACACCAGCCAGGACCAACTTAGAGGGGAGCGCGTAGCCTCCCAGTCACCGCGCAGCCCTACAGGAGGTCACAGCAACTGGCACAGATGCACTGGGGCCACTGACATTTGCCAGGTCCTCTGTCACGGGCCACATGCTGGAGTCCACACCGCTTCGCTTCCCATCTGTTTGATGATGGATCAAATTGAACTCCCGTATCCTAACCGAGCAGTCTAAATCAGGGCTCACTGTGGCCAGGTTAATTTTTCCTGATGCAACACAGTACAAAAATGTTCATGGCTCCTCATAGCCCACAAATCAAGTCCTAGGCTTGCTCATCAATGCCTTCAATAATTGCCCCAATATACCTTTTCAACTTTAATTTCCCACTTCCTCGGACACAAATCTTCCATCCCAGTCGTTTCAAGCAAGGTTCACAGCCCAAGACACAGTAACTGCTGAATTCCTTTCCTCATATGGAAAAGCCACCTCTTGGCTTTCACATACTTTTCTCCCTGTCCATCTGAATGCTATCAGCTTCCAACCCCCAGCCCATTTCTCCAGCCCATATTAATTATGCTTTTTCTGAAGGTCTGGAGCACTTAACTGACAGTACTATTCATCTTGTCACTCATTTAAATTCAGTAAGTGCTATTTCTGTTAAGTTTTTGTTTTGTGAGATTTTTTTTTCAAGGAGCATGTCTACATTCCGGCATTATGTATGGTGCTCAAAATGTTTTCTCAATTCATGCAATAACTATATGCAAATTTTAAAATCAAGCATCAGGAATGTGGTTATTTGCCCAAGTTTTAATATCTAATAAATCCTATCTGTCCCATGTGGAATTTAAAATATAAGGTAGTTATGGTGGTTGATAAGAATATATTTTTGAATGGATAGGCAAACTGAAAACACCTTATTTTAGAATATGTTTTAATGTTTTTTGGAACAATAAATGGGGTGGAGTGACTGTTTTCTTTTCGGTCAGTTTTTTTCTGGAGTTTCCAATTGCCTTTTGTATCACTTGGTGTCCGGGTAGGATAAAGCATGCTCTCTTACCCGTGGTCTAGCCCTTGAAAGTACAAATCTGGTCATTTTTACCATTTAAAAAAAATTAATTTTTTTTTCAGACGGAGTCTCGCACTGTCGCCTGGGCTGGAGTCTCGCACTGTCGCCTGGGCTGGAGTCTCGCACTGTCGCCTGGGCTGGAGTGCAGTGGCACCATCTCGGCTCACTGAAACCTCTGCCTCCCCGGTTCAAGCGATTCTCCTACCTCAGCCTCCCCAGCAGCTGGGAATACAGGCGCCCACCACCACGCCCAGTTATTTTGTTTTGTTTTGTTTTGTCTACATTTTTAGTAGAGACGGGGTTTCACCATACTAGCCAATCTGGTCTTGAACTCCTGGCCCCGTAATTTGCCTGCCTCGACCTCCGAAAGTGCTGGGATTACAGGTGTGAGCCACCACAATGGCCTAAAAAATCTTTTTATAAGAATGTTCATTGTACTATTATTTATATCATTGAAAAAACAGAAATGGCCTCCATATCAAACACTAAGTTATGAAACATTCATATAGTGAAGGATTACAGCCACTAAAGTCATTCTGAATGGATATTTAATGATATAGAAAAATAGTCATGATACAGTGTTAAAGGAAAAAAGAAGAAGGATATATTTTATGATTCAGATGTTTAGTAAACACATAAAATTAACTATGTGCCATGTGCCACTCTAAATCTTTTACACAGGGGACTCATATAGGAAGATTACCAATGTATTACCTTGAGCTAGTAATTTAGCCACTCCAGGATTAATTTCCTCATCTGAAAAATGAAGACAGTTATATTTGTCTTACTGATGGTATGATTGAATGAATTAATGCTTGTAAATCATCTAAAACACGGCACATGGTTTAAAAAATGTTCCTTTATTATGTTCTAGATTGACCATCCTATAGTGCACTAGTGATTTAGGTTGGTGCAAAAGTAATTGCTGTTTTTGCCAATACTTCCAATTAATATTTTGCTCACTTGGTTTCTTTGTCATCAAGTGATATGTTAGTAATTATTGAACAGTGATACGTTTTAGGCTCATTAATTAACTGGAAGAAAGTTGCCTAAATAATTGTGTATCTACTTCTGCTAAGGAGAGGAGTAGATTTGTGTGTAAGAGGGAAATCATGACATTTAGTTTTATTCGCAGTTGAATTGAATCATGGATGTTTTCACCTTTTTACAGCTTCTCTATCAATGGTCTCTTTTTTTACCTTGTTATTTTGAATGGTTATTTGAGTCACATTTTAGCTGCATACTAACTAATGACAATAACTTAAAGCAGTTAGCTTGATAAATTAGTCTATGATGAATTGACAATTAAAATAGCACATTATAATTAGATATGATGCAACACAGTCTTGCATTATCCTCTTTGAAACAGAGATGCCTCATAATTTGGCTATTTTTACTTAAGATAGCATCTCACTCTGTCACACAGGATAAAGTGTAGTGGCACTCACTGCAACCTTGACCTCCTGGGCTCAAGCAGTCCTCCTGCCTCAGCCTCCTGAGTAGCTTGGACTACAGGTGCAGGCCACCACACCCCGCTACTTTTTATTTTTGTAGAGACAGGGTATCATTATATTCCCCAGGCTGGCCTAGGACTCCTGGCTTTAAGCACTCCTGCCGCCTCTGCCTCCCAAACTATTGGGATTACAGGCATGAGCCACTGTACCTGGCCGCAAATTGTCTTACATAGAGCTCTCTAATCCAGTATGGATCTCTAGAACTTGCGTCAGTTTTTCCTTGTCCGTTAGTAAAGCAATGGGGATTTTTAAAAAATGCAATTAAACTATGTAACCAGCAGATGGCAACAATAATCTGTAAATCAAAATTTCCAAACAGGTACTTAGTAAATTCATTCTTTAAAAAAAAAAAAATCACTGTTCTTATAATAAATCCGTTTACTGAATATGAAATGTAGAGAAATTCCAAATGTAACCCCACATAAAAATTACATTGTATATTTCGTATATCAAAATAATTAAGATCATCCTCATGGTCAATATTTAGTTTTCCAAATAATGACTTTGTTTTCATTGATTCAGAGAATTTATTAGATTTAAAAGTTTTTAACTTTGCACGAATACATAGATATAAATTTAAGCTGATAGTTAAGTTCCATCTCTAGCCTCCAGGCTAGATGGAGGTAGTTCAGCAAAGATCATTTTGAAAACATTACAAACTTTTCCACTTACAATTTAAAATACGCATTTAAAATACGCAATTTAAAATATGCATTTCAAACTCTTTCTGCAGAAAAGATGGGTTTTTATTTGTGCTGTCTCACAATTTCTTATGCATAAAGGTACTTTCCCCCTTTGTACAGTGCAAAGAGCTGGACTTGGCACCGAAGTATTTGTCTCTGGTTTATCAGCATTAGTTATTCTAAAAGATGGTGGCAAAATTCTTAGGATCTCATATTTATTTAGTAATTTTATTTACTTCCATTATACCTCTCTAAGACTTTTTCTATAAATTCAGTCATGAAATACATCCTGTATTTAATCTTGTAGCTCCATTTTTGTCTTAAAAAAAAATAGGAATCCTTTCCCCATTGCTTTTGTCAGGTTTGTCAAAGATCAGATGGTTGTAGATGTGTGGCATTGCCTCCGAGGCCTCTGTTCTGTTCTGTTGGTCTTTATCTCTGTTTTGGTACCAGTAACATGCTGTAACCTTGTAGTATAGTTTGAAGTCAGGGTAGTGTGATGCCTCCAGCTTTGTTCTTTTTTCTTAGGATCGTCTTGGCTATGCAGGCTCTTTTTTGGTTCCATATGAAGTTTAAAGTGGTTTTTTCCAGTTCTTTAAAGGTCAGTGGTA